TGACTGGATGATCTGGTGAACTGGAAAGTGACCTGAGATGACATGATGTGAATTGGAGCTATAGAAATAAACTGAATCTAAACTGAATTGAACTGTAATAAATCTTTCCATATCAGGGGTTTTGATGCTAAGCACAAATACTGCAGGGATAAATCAGAGCTTGCAGGAAATAAAAAGTTCTGAGTATAATCGGACCTCCTTACCATCTGCTGCCGTGCTATTAGTGACATTTGAGCTGCTGGGGGGGGCTTCATTCTTTCCACCAGAGTCGACGGTATGAAACACTGAGGGATGAAATGAGACATAGTAATAAAAAGTAAAAATATACAGCAGCTCTCAATAATGTACATACCCGAATTGTAATACCTGGAGTTTATGATATAAGAAGAATTATACCATAAGGAATCATTTCAAAATATTTCCTACAAATAAGGACATTTATCTGTACTATAGCTGCAACTAACAATTATTTTGCTAATGGATTAATCATCATTAATCTGATTAACTGTTACATCCCTAATCTGTGCATTTTAACTAAAAAGGAGAGAATTTCTAAAGCGGCTATCACAAAGTTGCAAAAGTGGGCCCACAATTTAACTAAAGGTCAGAAAAACAACAAATCTGATTTTGCGTTTGATCTGGCAGAAAATCATGTCATAGAGGTTGTGGTGTTTAGCGTTCATTGAAAGTCAATGGGGACGATTTCCTGCAGGGGGCAGCTTGGTTCCGACTGAGATAAGAGGCCAGATGTGTTTTAGTCGGACTATGCAGCAATTCAGCAGCAATTTCATGGGTCTGACGCAGTTACAAAGTAAAACACATCCGCTTTGGAGGAAAATACAAAATAAAATCCGTTAATCTAACGGGAAAACAGTCGGTTTGGAGTGGCTCATCGCGTTTATAGTAAACAGGACAGACTGGAGCAAAAACAATGAATGAAACATTAAAATAGAAAACTTTCCCCATGATAGGAGTTCTCTTTTTTGGACCAAAATTTCAAAGGAACAAGCAGCCCTAAAACAACTGAATCTCACAGTGAAACACGGTGGTAGCAGAAGCATACTATGGGGTTACTTTTCCTCTCATTAAACACAGACTTTTGTCTGACAAATCTTTAAGGTGTCTGCTCTGAACTAAATAGGAAGGTGGATTTTATTTTGCGGCACATCGCAGCGCAGTAGTAGAGAGGGAAAGGTAAGTTTTGGAATAATTGAGCCGAAAAGCAGAACTGATAGGATGTTTTTGGAGCCGAAGCCGAGGATTGGAAATCTACTCAGTCTGACAGTTTAGTAGGAAAATATGAACACAGTCAGAATGGATCTGCAGATCTACTCCTCAGTGTATTAGTTTAAGGACTTTCACACAGTTTTCATAGTTTTTTTTATGAAGTTCACAGAACAAATACCTTATTTTTACTTATAAAAAGTCCTAAAAATATTTTCGATGGTCTCATTTACTTTAAAATCACAAAACAAATAGTTTTTTTAACAGGTGTGGGACTGTATAGAACATAATGGTCAGCTCTGGCTTTGCTCAAAAGAACAGATTTATTACCTGCTGACGGTGTAATTGGCGTCTGTGTGACATTTACGGCGCTGCTATCATTCAGAGAAGTAGAGCCGGCCTCTGGATGAAAGCAGACAGAAACCAGAAGAGCAGTTTGAATTTAAGGTTAGACATTTAAAGCATAGAGTTTATCAAACGAGTCTATTGTCCCTTTGTCAGCGTTTACAAACCAGGTTTTGTGCGCTGAGATTGTGCAGGTCCAGACGGTTTCAGAGCGTCGCTGGTTTCATTGCCTGGTTGTGCTTTTTTTTGGTCTGAGTGTGGAAGAAAAAAAATTATATTTACATTAACGTTACTTAGGCCAATTTTATTGCAGCTCCTAAATCAACATTGTCTGAGCTGCAAATGTTTTGTCTGCTCTAACAGCTTTTGATGGGTTTTTTTTCAAATGGACAGAAGATTATAAATATTTCATAAATAACCCTTTTTTTTAACAGTGTCCTGTTTGGCAATATGAATAATTGTCTTGCTGCAAAAAGAGCCCAACAAATTTTACTTTCACAAGTGGAGCA